AAAGGCATCTCTAGTGTAATGCATGGTACATGTGCCATAGGTTGCTGACCCCCTGCTTAGACTGTCTACACACCAGCCTCCATCTATGGACCAGAGATATTTTGTTAATATGCATCTTCTTAATTCTGAATACTATGGTCTATGTAGTGTTCCCGGTGACCCTGCAACATTGAATTCCTGCAAATCCTATTATGCTTCAGATTCCACAGATGCCCGAATCTGATTTTCCTTCAAATCACTTCAGAGCACCCTTTTCCTGTTATGACCTGCTGCAAACAAGATGCATAGCCAAACCCAAGCTTCTGGCAGGGGTCCTGAGAAATCCTAGCTCCTTGCTCATGAGAAATGGCCTCCAATTCAGTAATATTCTTGTGTTTCTGTGCTGCAAACACCTTCTTCAGATCCCACCAGAGATTTTCAATGGGTTTCCAGTCAGGTAATTGATGGCCACTGCAGAATTTTCCAGGACTACTTCTTGAACCAAGCCTTGGTGTAATTTGAGGTATGTTTGGGATTATTGTCTTGTTGGAAGGTCCAATGATGCCCAAGCTTCAAGTTCCTGACAGACAGCATGACGTTTTTTCCTAGGATTTCCTGACACTTCAATGAATCCATCTTGCCTTCCACATGCAGGTTTCCAGTGCCAGAAGATGCAAAACAGCCCCAGAGCATCACCGGCAACCACTAAGTTTAACTTTACGCATAGTGTTCTTTTCAGCGTATGCTTCATTATTCTCGCTCCGGACATACTGCTGATGCATTGGGCAGAAAAGCTCCTGTTTTGTTTCATCCCTCCAGAGAACAGAATCCCTAAACTTCTATGGCTTATTTTTATGATTATTAGCATATTGAAACAATTTTTTGTGATTTTGCAGGGAAACCTTTTGTGTTTATTACTCACCACCTTACTGTGCTCACTGAAACCTCAATACCTGTTGCCACCAAGTCTTGCTGCAGGTTTTCTGCAGTCACTCGAGGGTTTTTCACAACATGCCTTCTCAGAAATCTGTCTGGCATCTAGGTAGGACCGGTGCAAGGATTTCTGCCGCCCTAGGCAAAAAAACATTTTGCCGCCCCCTAACTGACAGACATACACTCACTCACTGAAAAACACACACACACACACACACAAACTCACTGACAGACATACACACACACAAACTCATTGACAGACATACACTCACTCGCAGCCTCCTGCTCACGGACTATGGGCCCTGTAATATACACTGAAAAGGTCTCAGTTCGTGTATTTGGACTATATGGTTCGGGAACCGAACAACCGCACGAACCGGAGACCACCCTGGAGCTTGTTAAGCCTAATTGCTACTTTGTAGCAATTTCCACCTCAGTGTTCTAAGTGTTCGTCTGTGTGGCCGCATTTCCTATGGACGACCACGAGGTGGCAGCCATCTTGTTCGCACGAATGCAGGCAGTGGTGTTTGGTCATCAAGTTCGTGGAACTGAAAACTGACAAACTACCGAACACCGCTGGACTTCCAGCATCATCTGCGTTCGGTTCTACAACACTTAGGAAGACACTGTTCGGTGGAAACTTTCCCACAAACAAGGGGAACAAGCTTGAGGGTAAGAATTATGACTATCTTTGGTAGTTTGTTCGGTTTTAAACTACCAAACTAGACCGACTGCTAGCCCTGATCTTATGGAACTGTTTTGGGCAGGGGCCTTGTGTGCAGTCAGGCAAATTACGACTTCAAGGAAATTCACGAAAACCTGAACCGATCTGGGTGATTTTTTGAAAGATGCAACTTTTAGTTAATGGCACCTACTATCTACAGCTGCGGGGCACGGCTACATATACGGATTGTGCCCCCACCTATACCAATCTCTATCTGGGCTGGTGGGAGGAGACTATGCTTAAACAAACTGTCGAGGAACAATCTAGCAAATATATACTCAAATGGCATTGTTACATTGATGACGTGCTGTTATTTTGGACAGGATCAGTCACAATGTTTGATGAATTGGTATGTGTCCTAAATCAGAACCATATAGGACTGCAACTTACATCTGTTATCGCCGAGAATTGGAATTTCTCGACTTGAGAATTACATTGTCCTTGGATGGAAAAGAAAAAAAACAGAGTTATTCAGGAAACCCACTGCCACTAACAATCTTCTACACTGGCAGAGCCACCCTCCCATCAAATTAAAAGATGGTATACCTTATGGTCATTACCTGAAAGCACGTAGGAATTGATCCAATGATAACACATTTCAACAACAGGCGAAGGATATCAGAACCAGATTCAAAGCACAGGGGTACCCAAACAAAATTCTAAAAAGGTCATATCAAAAGGCAGCATCTATGGAAAGATCCACGTGCCTTTGCTCTTCAAGACCAAAATAAACCAAACAAGCCATTAGATGCATCGGCACGTTTGATCAATATTGGGAACCAGTAAGACAAATATTTACAGACAATTGGCCCATTCTCAGGCACAATGAAGATCTACACAACAGTCTTACTCCTTTTCCCAGCCTAACCGCACGACGGCTGAGTAACCCAAGAGACATACTGGTTCACAGTCACTGTGAACCGGAATTTTTAAGTGTGGATCATGTAAAGAATGTAAATTCTTACTCCCCTCCAAAACTGTCACTTGTAGCAGATCTAACAAGTGTTATCCAGTTAAAGATTTTATCAATTGCAGAAGCACCAAAGTGGTCTACGTTATAACCTGCACTTGCAATTTATATTACATAGGCAAAACTTAGCAGCAACTAAGGAGAAGAATTCTGTAACATGTAAACTCAGTCACCGACCTTAACACTTCCACTCCTATAGCCAACCATATCCGCACCCAACATAACTGTGATCCAACTCATTTAAAATTCCAAGTGATTGAAAAAAAATCACAATGACCACTAGGAAAGGTGATTTTAGCATTCAATTACTTAAAAGAGAGTCCAGATGGGTTTACGAGTTCCAGACCATGTCAACAAAAGGACTTAATGAAGAATTCAATTTCACCCCATTTATCCACTAACCATTATGCATGTCTACTCATACTTTATCAGCAATAGCAGTTTCAATTACTTACCTTTAAAATTTAAATTTACAATTCAAACACTCAATGGCCCCCAAATCCGGGGATTTTATTTTACTAACTCCCTTATGGCCATTATCTATATATTCTCATATAACTCTGTAGTCCTAGCTCATCTAGTCTCTTCTTCATATATACTCATATGCCCCTCCTTTCGGAAAACATGCTGATCTTTATTTATTTTTATATAACTTAGGTAGTTGTGGTCATTCTTATTATTAACCTTTTTCATTCCTTGATTCTTCTAACATTCGCTTATTTTCACTGTTTTACAAATGAACAGTTTATCTTACAACATCAATATAACATTCATAGACCTTTATCTAATTAAAGTATTCACTTGCTACTAAATACACCCCTTGTCACAATGCATTTTGGGAGAATTATTTCTGATCATCAACTTCTATATAGTTCTATACCTTCAGGGGTTAATAAAACAAAAACCTCTTTGGATCCTAGTTATACCTTAAAGGGTTAATAGGCTCAGAAACTTTTTTTTTTTTTTTTATATCTTTCCTGACACACCATTGGTGCTTTCATGTTCAAACTGGCCAATTGCAAACCTTTTTTCTCATTTATAAACCAGAAATTCACCAATAACTGTCCCTATATATTTGTGAAAAAAACAGCTATTACAACTTCTAGCTTTCTTTCATTATAGTGATTCTAGCGGTGGGAGGCATTCCTTATACATCCATTTAGGAGTAACAGGCATTTTGGGTTAAGGGGTGCATTGGAAGGCACAGAATTTGTATTTACTTACTACTTTACCTCTCCCTACTATCACCCCCTATTGATACAGACATGTATTGGCTACATTGTTTGGCAGTGACTATTAGCAAATATAACGGTGCTATTTTGTTCCCACTACATTGCTGGACTTTTTTAGTTGCACTATCTCTAGCAAGATCATTTAGCCTGTATTACCAGCATTTTCTGATATCTTAGTATTCCTATTGCAGCACTGCACAATATGAAATACTACTTTTTTTTTTCTTTCTAAAAGGGAAGGAGACGTCCCCTTATCTGTTTGTTTCGAGTTTAGATTTAGACTTTTTCTATTCTCCTTATACCTATGGTCTGCTACAGGTGGTTTTTATAATTATCCTGAACTCACAAAGCTACAGCTTGTACTACCTTACTCTTTATTCATTATCCCTATATTTGGGTAGAACTACCAGATTGTCATTTACAGACATTATAGCTACACTCAGGATAATTGTTTTGTAAATGTGTACATTATTATTTCTGCTTTAATTTTGTTTTTCTTTTCTTGTTGTTGTGGTGACTTATTTCACCTCTTAATCGCTATATTTCAAGGTAAAGGGACACTCTAGTCACCTGAACAACTTTAGCTTAATGAAGCAGTTTTGGTGTATAGAACATGCCCCTGCAGCCTCACTGCTCAATCCTCTGCCATTAGGGAGTTAAATCCCTTTGTTTATGAGCCCTAGTCACACCTCCCTGCATGTGACTTGCACAGCCTTCCATAAACACTTCCTATAAAGAGAGCCCTATTTAGGCTTTCTTTATTGCAAGTTCTGTTTAATTAAGATTTTCTTATCCCCTGCTATGTTAATAGCTTGCTAGACCCTACAAGAGCCTCCTGTATGTGATTAAAGTTCAATTTAGAGATTGAGATACAATTATTTAAGGTAAATTACATCTGTTTGAAAGTGAAACCAGTTTTTTTTTTCATGCAGGCTCTGTCAATCATAGCCAGGGGAGGTGTGGCTAGGGCTGCATAAACAGAAACAAAGTGATTTACTGTATATACTCGAGTATAAGCAGAGTTTTTCGGCACATTTTTTGTACTGAAAAACCCCAACTTGGCTTATACTCGAGTCAGTCTGTATTATGGCAATTTACATTGCCATAATACAGACTGGGGGCTGGCAGAGCTGTTACTTACCTCTCCTGCAGCTCCTGTCAGCTCTCTCCTCCTCCGCGCCGGTCCGTGCAGCTCTTCTGTCAGCTCACATTGTAAGTCTCGCGAGAGCCGCACTATGACCCCGCGGCTCTCGCGAGACTTACAGTGTGAGCTGACCAAGGTGCTGACCGGACCGGCACGGAGGAGGAGAGAGCTGGCAGGAGCTGCAGGAGAGGTTAGTAACAGCTCTGCCAGCCCCCCTCCTCCCCCCCTGAACTGCCAATGCCACTGGACCACCAGGGAAGGAGAGCCCCCCTCCCTGCCATGTATCAAGCAGGGAGGGGGGACAAAAATAAATAAATATAATAATAAAATATTAAAAATAATAAAATAAAAAATAATAATAACAAAATATTAATAAAACAAAAAAATTATTAAAATAATTAAAAAAAAATAATAATAAAAATGCCCACCCCCCACCAAGGCTCTGCAACACACACACACACACTGCACCCATACACACACACACTGCACCCATACACACACACTGCACTCATACACACTGCACTCATACACACTGCACTCTCATACACACACTGCACCCACACACACACACTGCACCCACACACACACACTGCACCCACACACACACACTGCACTCACACACACACTGCATTCATTATATACACACATTGTAAATAAATATTCAATTAATATAATTTTTTTAGGATCTAATTTTATTTAGAAATTTACAAGTAGCTGCATTTCCCACCCTAGTCTTATACTCGAGTCAATAAGTTTTCCCAGTTTTTTGGGGTAAAATTAGGGGCCTCGGCTTATATTCGGGTCGGCTTATACTCGAGTATATACGGTAACTCCAAAATGACAGTGAATTGAGCAGTGAAATTGCAGGGGAATGATCTATACACTAAAACTGCTTTATTTAGCTAAAGTAATTTAGGTGACTACAGTGTTCTTTTAAGTTTTATTTTTAGAAATACCTAGCCTAATTGGTTGATATTTGCCACTCCATCAGCGATACAGTTATTTCTCGCTCTCTCCACATTTATTCCATAGTGATTTGTCTCACTAGGGGTTACCTCCCGCTTCAGGAGATTAATAATTGCATTACCTTTCTTTACTCTTTTATTAACTTTTAGGGGATTTTTATGTATTTTTAAGGTACTTTTGGGGTGTTTGTGAAATGTGTGTTTTTTGTGCCTGGAGATAATGGAGTTTTGTACAGTTCCCGACTCAATTATCTCCCAGACATAGGGGAGGGATTATCCTGTTTTCTGTGGGAGTGTCATGGGCGTGCTCAACTGTATTTGAAACAATATAAAAGCAGGCCACCTGGCCAGATTAAACGTATTCCAACTTGTACTCCGTTAACTATGTGTCGCCTGGTTACTGGGAGGGGAAAGGGCTACTCATTAATCACTGTTCCAGTGTGGAGGATTAAACGAGGGAAAGTCCTTGTAGGACTAGAGCTCCCAAGACTGAGTGTCGTCCAGTGCCTGAGGGTTGCTAGAGCGAGTTCCCCATTCGGCTGCAGGAGGAAGCGGTTCCAGGACCCCAGTCAAGCCACGGCGACCGCGTGCAGAAGTGCTGCGGTTTGTCCCCTGTTCCAGCTAGGAAGCAGCCCTTGGCAAAGGTACCCAGCCAGGGGTACAGGGAGCTCCGTTACACACACACCCTGACCGTCAAACACTCACCTCACTGGGGTCCAGTGTGGGGCAACTCCTCACTTCTTCCACCTGCTGTTTAATATGCCAGGGCCGGAATGACGTCATATTCCGGCTCCTGGCATTACAGAGGGCGCTCAAGGTAGGCGTGAGAGGCTGCAAGAACAGCCTCTTTCGCCACCTGGCTTCTCCTTCCCCATCTCCTCCGGACTGTCACTGGCATTTGTTGGCAGAGCAGGCACTTGCCATCAAGGTAAGCAGGTGCCTGCTCTGCCTTACCTAGCACCGCTTCAGAGGGTGCCCTAAGGTGGCCACCTCCTGGACCCCATAACAGGGCTCCACTTGGCACCCCCACCTCCGTGCACCTTGAAGATCGGCCCGGCACTGGGGGCGGCTCAAGAGCCGCTCACCCAGTGCTGTAGCCCCGGACAGGGGCAGGCAGTCCACCAGGAAACATCCCGGTGGGCGCCGCCAGCAGGCCGGCTCCCTAGGCGAATGCCTAGTTCGCCTAACTGTTGCGCCGGCTCTGCGTCCAGGTAGTGTAACCCCTATTTCTTCAACTTTTCAACTATTTTTTTTTATTTGTTCATTGCAAACAGCTGAAAGTCTGTATATTTTAAAAATAAATCAGATTTTTAGGTTGGGTTGAATAATTTTGATTACAGCTATATGTGAAGACAAATAGTTTGCAGAAATAAAGTAGCAACAAATGTAAACAGCAAACTGTAAAAAGTTACTATAACCCATTTTTACTATGCAAATTTATATATATATATATATATATATATATATATATATATATATATATATATATAAATAATTTATACTGACCTACTGGGCACTATTAAGTATGTCCACATCCCTGAAACCCTGTAAAATTAACTTACCTTGAATCCAGAGCAAGACAAATCTCTCCTCGAGCAATTCCATGTCCCATCCCAACATGCCGCATCACTACTATCCCCTAGATGATCCAAACAAATGCATCTCATAGAGAAGCACGTGACAGATTAGGATTATTTAAAACAATAACAAAACAGAGCTACAAATGCAGGCAAGCGGAGATTCAAGCTTTCCATTGCAGATGCAACCCCAGCGATGCCTGAAAGAGTAGGAGTTCATTATGTCTGCTGCCAAAAAGTTCATGCATCTTTGGATGTGCAGCGTTTCAATAAGTAATGCTGCACATACAGACTCCTACCACCAGCACCACTTCTAAAAGCAGAAGTAATCATTGATGTTGGAATAACTGTTTAACCCCTTAAGGACCAAACTTCTGGAATAAAAGGGAATCATGACATGTCACATGTCGTGTGTCATTAAGGGGTTAAACAGAAAATCGTGACATACACATAACAAAGAAAGGCAAATGGGCTAAAGAGCGTACCCTAATAACTTTTTATAATTAGGAGTTTCTGATTGGAGCTGCCTCTTCCTGATATTTAATTGTTTTATAGTATGCATTATACATTGTATTACCAACAAATTAAGGAACAATTAAGTCTACCTGATAAGTGTCCCGTGACACAGAGGTTGCTCCATCCCACACGGCACTGATCTGGGATTTTACAGGTTTTCCTCCAGCATTTTGGACCTCAATTTTTGGAGAATTTACATATATGGAAACCACAGTGAAACGTTCTTGGTCAGAGGGGTTAAAAACGGCTAGGTACCTGTAATATAGAACGTTATGCACATTCATTCATTGAAGGAAATAATGTTGCAGCATGTTAAAGTCTTTATTCCATTCAAAATGCCAAACCATCCTAATACAAGAAAAGCTTTAAAGAAAAAGGATTATTCAGATTTGTGAAATATTAAAGTTTACGACACTAGTAAAGATATATCAGTCTTTAAAAGCTTAATGAACATTTAAAATAGCATTTGCTTAAACAAACGTTCGTTTCATGAAGTCCATGCATTTTGAGATGGTGGTGTACATATTTTAATGTTAAGTGTCATTCTCCTTGTGTTAATAAACTAGTTTAAAAATATTTTGTGGAAGGAAGGGTCACTGATACACAAATCCCATGCACTCGCACACAGATTAACAAGCAGCCTGGAATGGCCACTGTGAATGCAATCTCCTTTGGGGTGTATTCCGTGGCATGGAGTGTTTCCGTAAGTAGATAGCACTGAATGCACAAATAAAGGGAAGATACATGCGTATAACATCTATGAAGGCCTATTAGCAGATGCAATACATATTTACAACTTGTAGGCCTATGTCTTACATACACTCTGAATATACATTAACTCAAATAATGTTTCATAGTTAGAAGCAGAGTTCTATTAGGAGAGACAAGCTTATCACTTTCATTCCCAATATGTAGCAGAAAGACTGCACTGAAAGAGCGCTTTTACATAAAAAGGCATACAATCTCCAAACTATTACAAATAATTAAATATTCACTCTTGTAAAGGTCAACCTAACCACTAATTAATGATCATATCACAACTTATTAACATTCATCTATACAAAAAAATAAATAAAAATAGATCACAAAAAAGCAGTTTATGTTAAAATACATTCACGAAGGGCTGATTAACTTTTGTCCACGCAAGTACACCCAGCTCCATACACATTCAAAGTAAGGGCTGGGCAGTTAAAGTGGCTTTGTCACCGCAAGTCAACCTACCTTTCTCCTATTGTTTCCTCTTTCAGATTCCGTTCTTCTTTTCTTCATTTCTGATCTATTTCTCTTTAAAATATAAGACAAAGTAGGGTACTTTGTCTTGTGTATTTTCCTACACTTGACAATTGTGACAAATTGGGTGGAGCTTAAGTGTAAGAAAAATGCATAAGATGAAGTAGTCCCTTTAAAGAGAAATAGAAGTGAAGAAAAGAAGAACAAATTCTGAAAGAGGGAGGAAACAATAGGAGAAAGTTAGGTTTGGTTTGAAGTGGCAGACACCTTAAAGGAACACTATAGTCCCCTAAATTACTTTAGCTAAATAAAGCAGTTTTAGTGTATAGATTATTCCCCTGCAATTTCACTGCTCAATTCACTGTCATTTAGGAGTTAAATCACTTTGTTTCTGTTTATGCAGCCCTAGCCACACCTCCCCTGGCTATGATTGACAGCCTGCATGAAAAAAAAAAACTGGTTTCACTTTCAAACAGATGCAATTTACCTTAAATAATTGTATCTCAATCTCTAAATTGAACTTTAATCACATACAGGAGGCTCTTGCAGGGTCTAGCAAGCTATTAACATAGCAGGGGATAAGAAAATCTTAATTAAACAGAACTTGCAATAAAGAAAGCCTAAATAGGGCTCTCTTTACAGGAAGTGTTTATGGAAGGCTGTGCAAGTCACATGCAGGGAGGTGTGACTAGGGCTCATAAACAAAGGGATTTAACTCCCTAATGGCAGAGGATTGAGCAGTGAGGCTGCAGGGGCATGTTCTATACACCAAAACTGCTTCATTAAGCTAAAGTTGTTCAGGTGACTAGAGTGTCCCTTTAATGAAAGTATTACTACTGCTTACGACCCTAGTTAGAAGCAATTAAAATTAGCTGTTTAAA